CCATTGAATTCAAGTGATAGTTGCACATCCAACCTTAATTTTGGAATTTCCTGACTTTTGAGTACTTAACCATGAAATTTAATGTTCATTTAATGTATTTTTTCTCTGGAATGAAATCATTAAGTGTAGGTATTTCTGTCACCAATAAAAAACAAAACAAACAAACAAACAAAAACCAGAAAGAAAGAGAAAAGCTTAGAACTCAAGGCAAGTGCTAACCAGGGCCAAACCTGTGTTCTGTAGAAAAGGTCTAGTGACACAAAAATCATCTTTTCAGCATCCAGTTGCTGCTCCTTAAATTGTAAGCTACAGTTTAGTAACTCCTGTAATTCATTTTTCCCAGGATGCACTTATATATCTATAATATCATTACTTGAGTTTGTTATACAGTTATGTTTAAAATTTTACAAATGGCTGTGCATAAGACAGACAGAAAATCTTAAGAAGTTATTCTTGCAGGAGAAGGTTACTCGGCTGTGTTGTCCCTGAGTAAAAGGTACCAGCTCTTTAGAGTTTATATAAACTGCCTATATGATATTCAACAATATCTGCAGGTCTGTTTGGCAGACAGGTCAGCCTGCAAAAAACAAAACAAAAAATACCTTTTCAACAGGAAGTTGCTGAATTGCTTATGTTAAATGTAGTTAAAACTCTCCACTTCCCACACAGTGTAATTCCCCATGCTGGGTCTTGTGCTTTCACAGCCACCCAACTGGAGTGTGTAGTGCCAGTGTAGGCATTGGGAGTTAGTACATTCATAGGGCTGTAGTTATACCTACATTTTATAGATTCCATTCAGTGGGAAAGATGGGTTGGGGGCACTGATGTAGATGGTTTGAAACACACGGGTGAGAAAATGGAGAAGCAGAAAATAGTGGAGGTGAACTTTTGGCTTTGTGAATGGTGTAAAGCTGAAGGTCTGAATTTTGTGGCGCATTGTCCACATTCTAGTGGGGGACAGAGCTGTATGAATGGGATGTCCCCATTTCATAGACAGGGAGACTAATCTCGGTTGGAGACTTGCTGGAGCAGCCAGGATGGCATTAAACTAATAATGTAAAGGTGGGGTGATAAGGAGGTAAATGCATTACAAACTCAAATTCATTGTGTCACCAACATTTTGGACAGATGTGACAAATAAAGTGAAGAGAAGAAAATTTTCAGTTGCTTAAATATCAGTGCTGGGAATCTGGGTAACAAGCAAGAGGAATTGGATATTTTCACTGATGAGAAGAAGTTTAGTGTTAAGCCCTTGGCATAACAAACAGTATGAACCAAAGGCTGTGAATCATAGTAGGCCTGGCCTTAGCAAAATAGCCAAACACTAAGTATTAGCTAACCAAGTAAGCACATTCCTGACCTGAGAGGATGGTTCTAGAACACCCAGAGTTATCAAGTAACTACATAAACAAATTCCCAAGAGGTGGTACAAGAGCACACTGACCACTTGTAAGATAAGAATGGGATGACCGGATAATGGATGAGGATGTTTTGTTCGAACTAGCAGGTACAAGGGTAGTAACTAGCAACATGTGGAATGTAATATGTAACTTGTTTGTATCAATGTATAAAAGGAGAAGTCATAGAAGGGGCATCTTTATGCTAGCCTAGGGGACAGCTTAATGTTTTGCTGATTGAGCTGGTACCATTGTTGTGAGCATACATGTATTAGTGTATCTGTAACCATTGAGCTGCGGTGCAAGTACCATGCTTCATCAACAATAAACCTTCTCCACTGAACCAAGCCTATGGTTTTTCTTTGTGAACAACATCAAGGTCTGGGGAATCAATACGTTGCACTTTCTTCTAAGAACAGCAGCACTAGCAACACACAGCAGTAATCACACCACAATCATGTCAGGGTCACCAGTGTTGTGAAGTGCAGATAATTGATAAGGGAAGCTAAAGACAGCATGGAAAAAATCTGTGGCTTCAGGCCTAAGAAAAATAAGAAGGATCTTAAATATATTAGGACGAAAAGAATTCCTAGCAATGGTATAAGACCGTTCCTAGATGGAGGTGGTAAAATTGTTAACAATGAAGCAGAAAAGCCACAAATGTTCAGTCAATATTCTTGTTATGTATTTGGAAAGAAGCAGGATGCTGAAATACTTTGCAGTACATTAGTAACCAAAGAGGGCATTAAACCTAATCGACTAGGCAACATTTTTAAATCAGCAGGCTAAGGTAACTTGCACCAAAGAGTCCTAAAACAGTTGGCTGAGAAGATTTCTGTCCCACTGATGTTAATTTGTAATACATCTTGGAATACCAGGGAAATTCCAGAAGACTGGAAAAGTGTTAATGTTGTACAAATATTCAGAAAGGCAGGTGGGATGAGCTGGGTAAATACAGGCCAGTTAGCCAATCCCAGACAAATAATGGAAAAGCTAAACAGGATTCAATTGTAAAGAACAGAAAAATAATTAGACAGCAAGGGTTTATGAAAAAATAGGTCTTGTCAAACCTTATTTTATTCGTTGAGATGACAAGTTTGGGTGGTAAAAGTAACTACATCCATTTAATATATTTACACTTTTAGGAGGTGTTTGTTATTCTGATTTAAAAAAAATTATCACTATGCAGTATTAATAGAGCACACTTTAAATGTATGAAGAACTTGCTAACTGAAACCTCTCAAAACGTAGTCAGAGGGGAATCATAATAGAATAGGGATGTTTCTAATGGAGTTCCACAGGGATCAGTTCTAGACCCCGCATCATTCAACATTTTCATCAGTAATCTCAGCATAAATATAAAGTCACTGCTGATTAAATTTTTGATTGACATGAAGATTGATCGAGTCCCTATCCCAAACTAGTCATGAGAACCAAGAGACATACAGAGCTATCTGGATTGCTCGGAAGCTGGGTCCCTTCAAACAAAAAGTGTATTAGTGCATCCAAATGCAAACTTATACAGCAAGGAACAAGACATACCTACAGAATGGGGAACAGTATTGAAGAAAGCAATGACTCTGAAAAGAATCTAGGGGTTGGAGTGGACAGGCAACTCAACATGAGCTCCTAGTGCAATGCTCTGGCAAAAAAGGCTAATGTGATCCTTTGATGTATATACAGAGGAGTAGTGAGTAGGATTAGGACATTGATTTTGTCTACGCATATAGCATCGGTGAGACTTATACTGGATTGCTGCAGACCGTTCTGGTGTTGACATTTTTAAAAGGCTATTAAAAACCTGGAGAGTGCAGGAAAAGGCCATGAAAATGATGCAAGTGCTGAAGAAAATGCCTGATAGTGAGAGATTTAAAGAGCTCAATATGTTTCATTTATTAAAAAAAAAGAAAATTGGGTGATGACTTGATTACAGTGTATAAGTATATGTACCTTCACGGGATGAAAATACCAGCTACTAGAGAGCACTTTAAGCTTGTAGAGAAAGGCATAACAAGATCCAATGTCTGGAATCTGAAGGCAGAGACATTTCTATTAGAAATGAGGCACAAATTGTTAACAGTAAATGTGATTAACCATTGGGACAAATTACCAAGATAAGTGGTGGATTCTCCAACTCTTGATGGCTTCAGATTGAGACTGGATGCCTTTCTAGAAGATATCCTGTAGACAAACAAGTTAATGAGCTCAATATAGGGATGATTGGGGGAAGTTTAATGGCCTGAGATATACAGATCAGGCTAGCTTATCTGTTGGTCAGTTCTGGCCTTAAACTCCATACATTTATAAAAACATCTTCATTGGGAAGTGTGGGCCTTTCTACTGCCAGGCACTTCAGATGCAGAGTTGGGGCAGTGCTTGACCTTGCTTGCCATAGTTAATGGAAGGATCCACTCTCCTGTTGCTGGCCCTAGTAGCATAGTACATTCCAAGCAGGATTTAACAAATCCACTTGCCCACTTAACAGTGATGAGCATCAAGCTTTCCTTGTAAATGTATTGTCCTTTTAATCCATCAATTTCTGCAGAATTTGTTCCTATTTTTTAAATCAAGTTTCTAATATTTATAGTTGCATATAGTTGCAAGTGACCTCTAATATGGGAAATGAGATAATCAATAAAGTTTTTTTCCCTCCTGATTGTGCAGGAAGTCAGCTTCCAAGACTCTGGTGCTGTTTGTTTCTCTTCTAGATAGCAGCAGAATCCCCTAATTCTCTCTCTTTGCTGCCTTCTGGACCATGTAGGAGGAGAGATACAAGAGATTTATATGTGATATAAACAATCATATTTCAGAAAATAGGCCAAACTCTATTTAATGGGGTTTCGGAAGAATATTTTCCTATGGCCATTTTATTCCATAACTGCCTACTGCAGAGTTCCGTGCATCTTTCTCTGCAAAACGTGGTACTGGCCATTGTCAGAGAAAGAAAACTGGCTAGATGGTTAGTCTGACCCAATATGGCAATTCCTATGGTAGAATGTTTTGACGCATACATTTGACAGTTGCTAATGTCTCTGATTTACACATCGTCACAAGACTTAAAACTAAGGTCACCTTGTTTGAAAACTTGATGCAAAATTTGATGCAACTGTGAAACAAAATATACTGTGTAGACTTTGCAAGGGAGGACTGTCCCTGCTAAGGTAAAAATTTTATTCTAAGTGGGTTTTTTTGTTTGTTCTTTAATACTTTTGTTTAATACTGTAGAACAGCCTTTTAATGCAAAGATTATTTTAATTATTCTTGGATTGTGTTTAAGCAATGCACATATGCAGAAAATAGCTAAAAAGTGTCAGAGTAAGTTAATTTTTAAAAGTGATATTTCAGTTCAGATTGCATCTGTTAATCATATTATCAAATTGAATCTACAAGATAAAGTAACAAGGAATGCAATGGAGTGGCAATACTTACACTAGATTGTGATTTTCTTGAAATGATGCCTCAGTGCTAATTACAAATATTAATAGGTGAAATCCTGGCCCCGCTTAAGTCAAAACTTCCATTCAGTTGAATGGGGCTAAGATTTCACACATTGTCTCAAGAACAGATTTGTAAAAAACACTTTCTTCTATTTTGTTTACACAGGAGGAAATTCTTCATGTTGCAAAGTGTGGTTTTCCTTGGAGATTAATAGTGTACCTTGTGCACCTGAAAGAACCCTGGATGTGAAGTGTGCAGCTCTGGTAAGATAGTGCAATGCCACAAAACTAAACCTTGAAAACTAACAGTATATATAACTTCCACTGTATGGAATATTGTACAAATTTATAGAGAGACCACACAAGTTCACCTTTTGGGCTAAAAATACCCAATATTCTGGGGCTTCATTTAAATTCAGTAATGTAAACTAAAAATAAGCTGTCGGTTGCTAACTTTAAACATTTATTTATAATCATTCATTAACTACCATCTTTCACACTCTCTCTCATGTGGTTTTTATTCTGCTGTAATCTGTTTCACACATTGGCACTCAGAGCTGGATTCAATAAAAAACTTCAACCAGCTTTTGTACTAGAGCTATACAGAACAGGAGAAATCTATTTTAGGTGCCTTCCACTTTTGCACAATGCACACTATTAATAAGCTTAGGCTTTCATGATTTTTTAAAAAATTGCTTAATCATTTTTTGGATTATTAGGTAAATATTTCCTTTAACCATCAAAACCATAATAAAACATTGTTAATCAGCTTGGAAGAATTATTATACTGTTTCATTGAATAAAATGGCTTATAGTTTATAAACCATTTAAATATGTAAAACTTGAATAGTTCATTATTTAGCATTTCTGATATGATACTGAGATTAGCCTGCCTAGATTTATTGTTGTCGGCATTTTTTGTCTTTGAATTAGATATTTTAGTGTTGTGTTTTTTGTTTTTCCATGGCTGATGTTTTTCTCAACTTCTTTAGAAGAATATTCATTTTATCATCTAGAAGTGCTATTTTCTGTTTGGTTTGTAAGCAAATGAGAAAAAATGGCTTTTGTAATGGATGCTGATGAGTTCTATGAATAGAATAACAGTTGCACTGCTTTGCTGCAGGAAGCTTTGCCTAGAAAAATATAGAACTGATACTATGGTTTGGCTTCATACAATTAGAATTCAGGTCCCCCCTCCCTCCCTGCCATACTCCCTTCTCCTGATTTGTTCTTTAAATAATTAGTATTGAGTCATTTCATTTCTGGGTACATGGTGACTTGCATCATGAATGCAGCACTTTAAAAATAAGCAAAAAGAACAGTTTCATCTTATTTCCTAAGATAGTTTTGGGTCTTGAATGCATCGTGATTATAGGCAATGCAGAGATACACAAAATAGCTTGAAAAATAAAATGAATATTGGATGAGACTAGAAACTGTACTGTTGCTGGGTGGACTTAGCGATACAGACTGTGTAGCCCTCTGCAGGATGCAACTTAAAACAAAAGTTTTATAGTGACAATGAAGTCAACCATATGCTTTAATGAAGGAGTTGAAAAATAGGGCTACATGTGTCTTGCCTATGTACATTTTGTAAAATATTTTATAATGGCTTTAATCATTTATCACTTTTAGTGTTTGTCATTCTCCCTCTGAAGCATTCCATCCTGAATGTGAACTTGTCCATTGTTCAGTGGCAGAAAATGATTTTTATAGAATCTTGGAGAAGGAGGAGGGTTGTAGTCAGAGTTGCTAGTGACTGAGTTGTGACGTCTGTGCCTCTCACCTTTTAAATTCAGACCTGTTTATTTAAAATGTTTACAGACCTTTCAGGCAGATTTAAGATTTTGGATCAAATCATGTGAGATTTGCAGTTTCACACTGTTGATACAGTAAAACAGACACCTTTTGGCTGAATGTCACTTTCAGATTTAAGATTCATCTGAACCCAAAATTCCAAGTGGAACTCAAGGTTATGTAGCCATATGGATCAAAACCAGTGAATCCCTGCGAAGTGAAGCCAATGAGTTTCATACAGTTCTAATTAGTTGCTCTTTTTCAGTTCTGTTGGCTTGTCACTGCCGACAATAGTAAAATCCTGGTTTTGTCAATAAAGCAGGGGTAACTTGGATAACTCAATGGAAGCAGACAAACTCAATAACAACCTGCCATTTTTACAGTCATTTTTCCAACCATAATCTCACTTCAGTGGGTTTAGTTATTCTTTATTTAAATAGGATGCTTAACAGATATTCTGCAGCTGGGAAAAAAAGTTATTGTTTTAATATGCAAAACTTTGCACTCCCTTGGCAGCTAGGGGGAAAAAAAACTGTTTAGGGAGAAGTGGGCAAAAAATCCATTTTCTTTTTATGTGATTTCCATGTGCATTTCTTATGCAATTTTGAAAATGTTCTGTTAAAATATTAAAAGCCAATGAGTTGCTATAAGGGAAAAAAGAAAACTTTTTTACTATGTTGAGGGAGTTTAAAGGCTACACAATGCATTTGACAATGCAGCAGCAGGATAATAGTTCCACTAAATAAAAGAAGCTGTCTTACTCTTAATTCTTCATTATTTTGTAAAAACAATACAAACTTGCAACCAACAGCTTCACTATAGAATAAGAGGAGAGGCTGTCTTTCAGCCCAAGTTGTCCAGCTGCAGAAAATAAATCTGGCTTCCAGTCTGTACTAAATGTAGTTTTTATTTTTAAAAAATGCGCTGCCAAATCCTGAGGTTGCTACTTAGTATTTTTTCATCAAAATTCTCCTTAACTTAAGCGGGAGTTTGCCTGAATAAGGATTCAGAAAAACCTAAATAAACACCTCAGAATTTGGCTCATAAATTAAATAAAGTAAATGAAATTAATTGTGAAGTGAAATCTTGCTCTCTTTGTATCCTAATGTTTACATACAGTGCCCTCCCTTTAATTCGTCCTAGTCCATCCCCACTACTTAAGTAGAAATGTGACTGATGTTATCTATATGACAACCATAAGACCTGTCTGATTAATACAACATTTAGCTGTAATCATCTTTTATTATGACTAACGAAAAATCAAGTCAAATTTTTGTGGGAGGTGCAGTATGCTATACCTCTCTAGCATCCCTTTAGGGAGAAGGGTGGGCAATGCTTCCTGTCTGAGTGCAGGGCACAGTCCTCAGTGCTGCTCAAGGTGTTGCGTGGCAGGGCAGGTGGGCAGGCAGAGAATTAAAGCAGTCCAAACAAAGTCAGCATGCTTCTGCAGCTTTCAGGAACCTAAAGAGAGGAAAAAGAAAATGGAAATGTACCGATCTTTCTCCTTTCTGAGAGGGCCTGGGCAGCCAAAGCTCTCAAGTCTTTTCCCTGAATGACAGCCAGAGGCTGGGGAGTTCTGCTCCTTCAGAGTGCCACCCTGCACTGAGAGAGACCCTCCCTTTTAAAGATCCGCCCATCTCCAGGCTTGACAAGCCTCACAGGTGCACCAGGTTGAGGCTGATTGTGCCCAGAGGATCTCTTTAACCCCTTCCAGACTGGGGTTGGAATCTGCCCCACCACAGGGGGAACTGTGTGACAATAAATAGTTAGGAACAATTTTTTTAAATACTAGATACGATATATGTGTTGTTAAGACACATTTTATATGGAAAAAGTGAGTTAACTATTTCAAGAAATTATTCTCATCATCTTCCCCTAGTAATAATTTTAGAACAATGCAGTATATTTACAAATGTATAATGAAAATTTGCAGAAATTACAAAATCCAAATTAATATGTATGGTAATTGCTTAATAGATATTTTTCATTACTAAATACACATATGTATATGCATTTCTTAAAGGTTTATTTAAAGCTACACCTCTACCCCGATATAACACTGTCCTCGGGAGCCAAAAAAATCTTACTGCGTTATAGGTGAAACCGCATTATATCGAGCTTGCTTTGATCCACCGGAGTGCGCAGCCCCGCCCCCCCAGAGCACTGCTTTACCGCGTTATATCCGAATTCATGTTATATCAGGTCGCGTTATATCGGGGTAGAGGTGTACTTTAGAAATTGTTTTACCAGTTGAAAGTAAGTACTGGAAAATAAAACCATTGGTAGTATCTGAAATCAACTGAGAACATATGTTTCAGAAACAGAAACCTCCTGACATTTTCAGCCAGTGACATGTATTATGTAGTGTTGTTGTAGCCATGTCTGTCCTGTAATGTTAGAGAGACAAGGCGAGTGAGGTAATATCTTTTATTGAACCAACTCCTGTTGGTGAGAGAGGCAAGCTTTTGAGCCACACAGAGCTCTTCTTCAGGTCCGGGATAGGTATTCCAAGCACCACAGCAAAATGCAAGGTCAAGGTCAAAATGCAAGGACCTGGCATTTTGCTGGGGTGCTGGGAGTACTTTTCCCAAACCTGAAGAAGAGCTCTGTGTGGCTTCAAAAGCTTGTCTCTCTCACTAAGTTGGTCCAATAAAAGATGCTACCTCACCCACCTTGTCTCCCCAGTGACATGTATTGTCAGACATCACAAGCACAGACAAAGAACATGTCAGATAATGTATAGTGGTGGATGAACTTTCGATGAATGACTTAGCCCCAGGTATAATATGTAGAAATCTTATAGCATCATATTTCTATCACTTGGTGAAGTCTCAGGTATATTGAAGTATAGTGCCGCTGTTTTGTAGGTAATAGAGTTTTAGGTTGATTTTAAATCTTTTCTCAGTAGCTCCACATCCCTGAAGTTTCCAAGTAGGTATTCTTTCTGAGGGGTTGGATCAGAGTATCTTTCCTCAGTATTTATTTTGTCTTCTCCAGTGTAGGTTTTATTTTGTTCAGGTATTCCTCAGTTAACCTAGAGTATATGTGGCAGGTGGTTTCAGAATTGTCCTGATGAGATTCCAAGTTGGATGGGGGATATCACGAAGCAGGATTTGGTACACAAGCCACCCATAGGCTTCCTATAGAAGGTAATACTTAATTCAAAGGACTGACAACAGTTCAGTGACAACAACTCTTCTGAGCTCTCATCATCAGCTAATACCTCAAAGGGTTTAAAATTTTGCATGGGCTCTGCCTCAGCTTTTGGTTCCTGGGAGCACAAAAGAATCAGAGACCATTTGTTTTCCTTCAGGATTTACAGCACATAAGCTAGGATTTTCATAGTAGCCTTGGGGAATTAGGCACCCAGTCCCATTAAATTTCAATGTGATTTGGAGATCTAACTCCTGTAGGCTTCTTTGAAAATCCCAAGTATAGTAAGTATATATGGAGTTCAACCTGGTTAA